GCGCAGGTTGGGAGGCAGGCCGGGGGGCGCTCCCTGCCGTCGCTCCCTCAGAGAGACCGAGCTGGGCCTGCTCAGAGGCACCGCCGCTGCGCTCGCGGAAGGGCTGGATGGGGCAGGCGCATCTTTCTTGTTTTCACGTTTTTTCTTATTTTTCCACAGGAGAGTGAGGTTCGGTCCGGCAGCTGGGGCTGAGGTGCAAGGCAGGAGGGCGGCGAGGACAGTAATACCTGCGCCTCTTTTGCTTCCCCCCCTCCTTGCACGTACTTTCCTGCAGCAGCCTGTCACACTTGGAATAAATGTAGACCTCCGCTGAACCCTAATTCTTGGATTCTTGACGAAATGCCTTCAGAAGACCTAAAACACTTAATGCTGCTCACGGACCCGGACTTGACAGCGACACCAGGGCAGAGGATACAATTCCCTGACCCTCCTCAGGCTGTAAATTACTCCTTGCTTTTTTTGTGTGCGCCAGAGGACCTCGCTTTTTATCTCCTCCTCCCCTGCTATTCCTTCCTTTGCTTCAGATATCAGTACCCCCTTTTTTTTTTCTTTCAGATGGTCTAGCCGCTTACATAATCTAATTAAATTTATCAGTCATTCTCTGCTGGTTCTCACCTTCAAGACTACAGCTGCTATTTCACACCTGAAGAAGGGTCTTCTGCCCAAAACCTTATCTTTTTCTTTCTCAGTGCAGCTGGCCTGAAAAAAGATAGCCCCTCTTTTTCCACACCGCAGTAGAAAAAGAGCAACTTAACATCTTTAGCAGTGGGTTGAGTGACAGGGGAGCATTTGGCTCCCTCTCCATAGTGTAATATGCAGCTAAAAACATGCAGTTAGTAGGTGTGCTTTAATTTGGTTTTATTTTTAAGAGATTGTTCAAGAAAAAATAAACGTTTCTGTAGCAGTATTGAAACTTCTAACAAATTCAGCAGTTGACCCAGTTTACTGGAATCAGGGTAGAAACCCCTTGGCACAACTGCTGAGGTAGATGGACCTTCAGGCTGCTTTGCCTGTAGGTGTATATTCAGAGCTGCAGCTGTGAAATGGGAGATACTGTTTTAAAATGCATCAATTAAATAGGTCAAGGCTTCCCTGTGAACACCAATTTGATGTGGAGTTAAGTTAAACCAATGTCAAGTTGAAAAAGCTTTAAATGAGACTAGGAATGTTGACATGACAAGGGTTTGCATCCTTTTAACTTGAGATGCTTTTAAAACTGGTTTAAATTCAGACAACCCTGAATAAATCCCAGGAGTAAGTTAGTGGTATTTTATAATTAGCATAGGCTTTGCAAGAAGCGCTTCACCGAGGTACCAGTGCTGAAAATTTCCTGTGATGCCGTAGAAACAGATAATGGTGTCATGTGCTGATACTTTGTGATGAACTAGATTAGAAAATACACTAATATTTTTTTTTTCCCAGAAACCAGCGTCATTTGAAGAAAACCTTAGTGGTGCTCACCTGCTTTCCGTGCAGGCAGCCCCTTCAAGCACCTCTCACATCCAGCCAGGGTTAATACATTCTGGAGTGGCTGGTTAAAAAGGTGGTCCCTCTGCAGCAGGGTCTTTTTAGGTGTCGACTGACATCTAAAATGATGTGACAGGTTTTCCTGACAGTGCACCTCATCTTTGGAGATGTGTAAATCCCCAAGGACAGACTGAAGTCCTGTGTTTTTACAGATGAGGCTTTTAATATCATTTGAGAAGGATTTTCCAGGCAGAGTCTCACAAGGAGCCTTTCTCACAGAAGACACATCTCAGCTAGTCATGAATTATTGCAGTGTCACTCGCTTCCATCAAATATTAGCATCTGGATGTGACCGTGCTCAACTACTCGTTTGTGTCTTGGATTGAAATGGCAGATGACAGCTGATACTTTGCCATTCTTTCTCTAAGTAAACAGTGCGTTTTCAGCCCGTTGTGGCGACTCCCATTGAGCTGTGTGAACAGGGAGGCGATCCTGCCTGCAGCTAAGTCTCCTGCTGCCAGGTGCAGTCAGTGGAAATAAATGAGGTGAGGCTGGGCTACGACGTAAGGGATGGCACCAGTGTGTTCTTCTAACCTTTGTAAAAGGCTGTGAAAGTCATATAGTAGTGGTGATATTTTACATCCTTTGCTGGTTGGAGAGGGTCCTAAAAATATATATGTATAGTCTGGTAGAGGGAGACTGGAAAATTGAAGACTAAATGACTGAGCAAGACCTGGCACTGCAGAGAGGCCTGGCAGGGCAGTTTGTGCCCAGTGCCCCCTTCCCCAGCGCGTCTCCTGGCACGAAGGCTCTTGCGTTGGGAGAGAGGATGCATGACAAACCCGTGATCAGCTTGCGTCTTCATAAATCTGGCTGGGATTTAGGGCTGAAACAGGAGTTTGTAGCCCCTCATTCCACCCACCCAGACAGTAATTGTAGCTCTAACTCGTTTTGTTGAAGTTCTTTCCCCAGGGAGTTTCAGGGCAATAAATATTTGATTTCTAGGTGCTAAACCTTCTTATTAATTGGGAACCAACTTCAGAAAAACAGGCCATCGGTTTGACTTTCAGGTGTGTTTAGGTTATGCACTACAGAATCACAGAATCATAGAATCATTAAGGTAGGGGAAGACCTCTAAGATCGTCAAGTCCAACCATCCGCCCAACGCCACCATGCTTACTAATAGCCGCGCCGACTACCATAGCCAGCCTTTCAGGCCCTGGCAACCCTCGGAGCCTCTTGGATCTCGAGCCAAAATTTGTAGTTTAGATCTGCGCTGGCAGTGTCCTAAGCCAGAATCCTGGATCCCAAGATTGGTACTTAGAAGAGTTGAGCTGTGATTATCAGTGTATCTCATCGGGTCTAATCTATTCACAAAGAATAGAATACGTTAGACTGGAGTAGATAGATGAAGATATCCCAGACAAAGGCATCACCTTTTAGAACACAAGAAAGGTCTGTGGTTCAGCAACAACCCCTCCGGCACCCAGAAGAAATGTAGATGTTGTCACCCTGACGTTTGCAGTGCTGACAACTCCTCCTGTTCCGGGTGGGTCCCTGAACATCCTCTGCGTCCTCCTTGCCCGGCCCCCCGCCGCTGCGTTTCCCCCGACGGCTGGCTGCACTTCTGCGAACTGACAGAGAGGTCACTGCACAGCAGCAAAAAGCCTTCTTGTCTGTGACACTACCGGCAGCAGCAGTTCAGCGGGAGGAGAACCCTGCCAGCGGGGAGGTGCGAGGGTGTCGGGCTGGCTGCAACCCGTGCTTCTTCAGGAAAAACACGGCTGGGATTGCCAAGGTAAGAACTTTGAAGCAAGGTGCTGGACAAAGCTGCAGCCGACATTATAGACTTGGTAACCTTACAAACATCTGTGTGACTAAAAGAACTGTGGGAGAAAGGCCTGCTCCTGTCTTGGGTGTGCTGCTGTTCAGCGCTTCACTAATGTGCTGAACGCTGGGATAAAGGGTGCAGTCATTAAAGCTGCAGATGACATTAGGTTGGGAAGGACCTCAAGTGTGTTGGAGGTTGAGAGTAGAATTAAAAAATGATCTTGATGCCTTGGACAAACGGCCTGAATCATTAGAAGGCGCTGGGACAATGCCAGTGGGTCAATGAGCAGCCAGACAAATTTACTAAAGGAAAATCTGTCGGAAGCTTTTAAACACAGAGATGCAACGTGAGGTTCAGGCAGGCTCTGCGCCACACGCTGCTGGAAGCTGAGAGGGTGTGGGGAGGGAG